TCTTCCAGCCTGTTACACAGGAACAGGAGGCCATTCAGCCCCTCCTCCTCTTCCAGCCTGTTACACAGAAACAGGAGGCCATTCAGCCCCCTCCTCCCTCCTCGAGCCTGTTACACAGGAACAGGAGGCCATTCAGCCCCTCCTCGAGCCTGTTACACAGGAACAGGAGGCCATTCAGCCCCCTCCTCCAGCCTGTTACACAGGAACAGGAGGCCATTCAGCCCCCACCTCCAGCCTGTTACACAGGAACAGGAGGCCATTCAGCCCCTTCCTTCTCCAGCCTGTTACACAGGAACAGGAGGCCATTCAGTCCCTTCCTTGTCCAGTCTGTTACACAGGAACAGGAGGCCATGCAGCCCCTCCTAGAGCCTGTCTGTGATGTGGAGTGAGCTGTTCTGTCTGATGCTGATGGAGTGCGGTCAGTGTTTTTTTCTCTCTCTCTCAACGCTGTCCTTTCTGAAAAGGTGCTGGCTGCTGTTTACAAGGCTCTGAGCGACCACCACATTTACCTTGAAGGAACCCTGCTCAAACCCAACATGGTGACCCCCGGGCACTCCTGCACACAGAAGTATAGCGCTGAGGAAATTGCTATGGCAACAGTGACTGCCCTGAGACGCACAGTACCCGCTGCAGTACCAGGTGAGAGGTAGAGACCCCATACCCCGGACACAGAGATCCCCTTCCCACTCCCAAAGAGACAACCTCCGTCTCACACTTTCACACCCCACATCCAATCAAATCCTGACACTGGTGGCGGGGTGGGGGGAGGTGTGGATAGTTACACTGTCAGGGTGATGTAGAGGGAGCTCTGTACTGTCCCTGTTCCTGGGAGCACTCGATGCTGACACTGGGTATAAAGTGGGGGGGTTACACTGTCAGGGTGATGTAGAGGGAGCTCTGTCCCTGTCCCTGTCCCTTTCCCTGGGAGCACTCAATGCTGACACTGGGTATAAAGTGGGGGGAGTTACACTGTCAGGGTGATGTAGAGGGAGCGCTGTACTGTCCCGGTCCCTGGGAGCGCTCGATGCTGACACTGGGTAGAGCTTGGGGTAGAAGGATATAAAGTAAGGGAGTAGGCTATGCAGTCATGGTGATGTAGGGGGAGCTGTACCTGCTGAACTTCCCTCTGAGGTATTCTCCCTCTTTTTTTGTTTCCAGGTATCACCTTCCTGTCTGGAGGTCAGAGTGAGGAGGAAGCTTCCATCAACCTGAATGCCATCAACAAGTGTCCCCTGCACAAACCATGGGCTCTGACCTTCTCATATGGACGTGCCCTGCAGGCCTCCGCTCTGAAGGCCTGGTCTGGGAAGAAGGAGCAAACCAAAGCAGCTGAGGCAGAGTTTATCAAGCGAGCTCAGGTCAGTCTCACCCTGTCACATTAAGGTGGGGGGGTATGGGATTCTTAAAGCCCACTGTTATCCTGCAAAGGGAGAGGGGCAGCAGGAGGCCATTCAGGCCCTCGATTCTGTTTGGATTAATCATAAAATCGCTACAGTGTGGAAACAGCCCCCTTCGGCCAAACAAGTCCAAACCGACCCTCAGAGCATCCCACCCAGACACATCCCCCTATGACTCACCTAACCTGCACATCCCTGGGCACTACGGGACAATTTCCCATGGCCAACCCACCCTAACCCGCACATCCCTGGGCACTACGGGACAAT